TAGGTTCTATCACCCAAAATTGATGTTGTCTGTCTGTGGAAGATAAAAAAAAGCTGCATATAACGTTCGTTCGTTTCTTCTTCCGAAGTGGCAGTGATATTGTCCAATACAGTTCATGGTGGTATTAAAATTAAGTCATAGCCAAAGTCCTCTAACCTCACCCCTAAACAAACCTGAATACCCCCCACCCCCAAAAAAACAACATCCACCAGTGTAACATTAGCTTCTGTGCACCCATGTAACCCCCCTGCAGACTAGTCTACAGAAAGTAGTCAGTTGATAAGGAAGCACCCCCTCTTGTCCTCCCTCTCTACAGTTCTGGATGGAGATGTCACAAGGAAACTCACATGAAGAATTCTGGAGAGGATGGGTTGTCGCTGGTGGAGCCGGCCTCCCTGAAGCTGCTGTTGGTCAGTTTCTCGCACTTCATTTTGTAGGCATCTCGCTCTCTGGCCAGCCGATTGACCTCTTGCTTCAGCTGCTCTACCTGCTGGATGAGCTGGGTCTTCTCGCTCTCCAGGTGATGTTTCTGCTGCACCCTCTTGTATCTGCAGGACTGGGCATAGCCTCTGTTTTTAAGGGTTCTCCTCTTCTGTTTCAGGCGGATGACATCATCTTTCGTGAAGCCTCTCAGGTGCCTGTTGAGCTCCCGGACAGACATGGAGACCAGCTGGTCGTCGGAAAACCTGTCTTCTATCTGGTTATTGCTCTGGTGTGATGGGTGGCTGTTCTGGAGCTGCTGGGAAGGGGTGGAATTGCCGGTTTCGGATGGAGAATCCTGATGGTGGTGGTGGTGGTGATGGTGGTGTGGGTGCTGGTGGGGATGAGCCATCTCCTCGTGGGGGACGCCCTGGTACTGGTGGTGGTTTTGGTGATGATGGCTGTGATGATGGTGATTATGATGATGACCTCTGTAGCCATCATATCCCTGAAGCTGCGGTGGCATCTGGTGTGGCCCGATGAGAGCTTCTACAGCGTCCTCCGGGGTGAGGTTCAGAGCCTCGGGGTTCATCTGCTGGTAACTGCCCGCCATCCAGTACAAGTCTTCCAGGTGGGTCTTCTGCTCTGTTGGGCTGAAGCTTGGAGAGGAGGGCACCGAGCTGCACGGGGTGCTGATCGGAGTGGAGGACACGGAGCCAGAGGGTTGCAAACGGTTGCAGGGTCTGATAGGGCGCTCTGCTCTCCCGTTCAGTGGCTCCTTCTTGACGTCAAACTTCATCAAGTCAAAGTCATTGACGTACTCCATAGCAAGTGGACTAGTTGGCAACTCTGTTCCAATAGGCAGCTCTCCAGCCATACTGGGTCACGTCGGCTTACTCCAGATCTGCACCTTGAGTGTGCCTCGATTGCACACCCAAGGAGTCCAGTGCAGAATTGCTTCTTCACAAGGGAACCCAGCAGGAACCTGGGCAAAGGCGCTGCGGCTGTTCCTTGAAGCTCTGCCTTAGCCCGGTGCAGGACACACAGTCCCAGGGATACTCGGTCCTCCCTGAATGTCCTTATTTTGTAACTTCCCACTTGCTGCACTGGATGGAGGAAGTTCTCAGGGCTCGCAGGAGAGACGATCGTGCCTTTTAACAAGAGTCTCTATCGGCAGGGACAGAGAACACCTCTGCATATCATCTGTGATTTCCCCGAGCAAGCCCCCTTACTTATATGCCCAGAGCCGAATCACGAGGGGGAGGGGGCGCGGCCTGGAACCAGCGACCAATCAGTACAAAAAGAAGAGCGAGATTTGCATAAAGCTGGCCAAAAGGGGCGGGGAATGGTGAATAGTGACAGCTAGAAGAGAAGTCAGCTGACAAGCTACTGCTCGAACAAGACCAGGCAATGCCACAGCTCGATCGAAGCTTCGGTTCAGGTCGGCTTCCTACACGCAGTCTTTGTCATAAGTATACACGTTGTGACTCACTGTACGTGCAATATAGGGGGTGCTTATGACCCGATCCCCAAAAATCACTTCTAATGTCATTATAACACAACAGCTAAATAGCAGCTTTCAGAATAAAAAGTGATCAATGGCAAGTCACTGTGCTGGTGCAGTTTGTCGCACCTTAGCAGTCCCATAACCTACATATTAAAAATGTTCATTTTAACACCTTCACATCGTGCATTTACAAACCTGTCCATACACACAGAGGCATGCACACTGACCATTGTATCTGCATCAAAAATGCATCCATGGTTTAAAAGCAAAAACCTTAGCAGGAGCCCGGCATTCCCAGAATGAGGCAGCCGACACTAATGAGTTGTAGTTTGCAGAGCCGAGTCTTTTGTTTGTTTTAATAAGAAGCCTCTGGTTTGTCAACCTGGGTTTTGCAACAATAGTGAGAACTTTGAGCACATTAGGTTTCAGAGATATAAAACGGCGCCCCCCAGTGGTCACAAGGATGGAAGTGCAGCTGACATTTCATTACTGCGAGGATCTAGTATATATACTCCATCTACTTGTGGACAAATACACTCCATAGACAACGGAAAGATCGTCAGATATAAAGAGCAATAAGGTTCATAATGCAGAAGGTTACATGAGAGAGGAACCCCCGCAGTCAGAATGGAAACAAATTAAGCAACACGTTCCATATGCCCCCCCCCCCACAACGCAGTTTAGTAGTGTCTATACACACACACACACACACGGGGGTGTTTCCTGAAAACCGACGTGTGCTCGCTGTTTCATCACCATGCTTATGGTACCATCCGACTTAAAAAGGTGCAAAGTGCAGTAACCCATGGCAACCAGACTGCTCAGTCTACAGGCAACGCGCAAGCTGGTCGCTGCAAGCGATTCCTTCCCACTGCTCATAGTTCTGACTTTGTGGGCAGACGGAGGGGACACATCTGATTCAATAAAAGTTGTACAACAAAGCTGTGATATAAAGAACAAGCCCTCTGTCACATAATTCACATCTGCAACTGTAACACGTCTAACTTTCTCTTTCTTTCTTTCTTTCTCTTTCTTTCTTTCTAGCTCATTATCCATCTGTCTGCCCACTTATTTGTCTACCTACCAATGTATGTATGTATATTAATCTTACTCCTTATACATCTGCCTACATATGTATGTATCTACTTTCTATGTATCTATCAATCTACCAATTTCTATTATGTACCTATCTAATTTATGTATATACTGTATGTATGTATCTATATCAATCTTACTCATCATCCATTCATCTACCTGTATACCTGCTTATCTATACACATTCCCCAGCTATCTATCTAATCATCCATCCACCTATGCATGTATCTATACACCTATCTCTATGTATGTTTGTTTCTACCTACCTACCTATTTATGTACCTATATAATCTTACTCATCATCCCTCCTGTATCTGTCTTTCTGTTTGTCTGTCTATCTCAATGACATCTATACACCTATCTCTATGTCTCTATGTATGTAGCCTGCACATGTATGTATCTATATAAATCTTACTCATCATCCCCCTTCCTTCTATCTATCTATCTATCTATCTATCTATCTATCTATCTATCTATCTATCTATCTATCTATCTATCTATCTATCTATCTATCCTGAGCACTTGGTGGCTGTGCTACTCCCAGGTAAGGAGGCAATTGGGGTCTCTTTAGCTCCTGAATAGTGCCGATAGAAATTCCCAATCGATTCTTATTTGAATGAGGGTCCGCTCGGGGGTAGGAACTTTAACCCTTTCTGCTCACAGACAATGGGAAAACCGTATGGCTCAGCAGTTTTGCCTCCGAAGTAGCTTTGCCAGGCATTTATCTAGCGTAAAAGAAGAGGGGGATAAATGGCCAGATGCAGGAATGAGGCATCCCAAATATTCATGGGGTAAAAGGGGGGGGGGGATGTTGGAGGTTTGGGTACCATCTAGAGAAGCACTTCCCCCCCGGCCCCTCATCATGTACCTCCTCGTGTGGTGCACATTATCCACGTCACGCATCATGAATATTGTGTATATCTCCAGCAAGCATGAATACATCGCATTTTTCAAATGGAATATTTACCGTCTTCGCTGCATAAATGAATTACGCCATTCCTCATCTCTAATGGAGCAGATACAATAGTGTGGATGGCGCAAAATTAATTTTAAAGGGCTGTTTTAAATAACTATACATGTGTGCTTTGGCAAACGCTTAAAAAAGAAGGGATGCAAAGTCCCGATACAAAAAGCTTCAGCCTGCGTGGGTAATGGATATTAAACTTTCCTCTCCGCGAAATATTTATATTCTAATATATGGTGGCCACTGTGAAAATGGTTTATTGATTATTAAATACCATTTATAAAGAGCATGCCATTACTGTAATATAGTCTTAAGGTTATTTTAAACGCATTTTTTTCTGCAGTTACAGAATGCAATGAGGAGCAGAGATTCAACTGACAATTAAAATGGAAGTGGAATCTTAAAACAGTTTTTTTTTTTTGAGTACAGCAATAAATTATAGATACAGGAGCAGATATGGAAATGCTAAAACGAAGGCTTTTGTTAGAGTCAAGCTTTGAAAGTTCAGGGAAATCCTGCTCAGAAAGCAAATGGCACAAACAGTTAAATATATATATAAAAAAAAAAAAAGATGCAATTTTATGTCTGTATTGTTTTT